AAAAAAGCTCCCCACTCTTTCTTTAGTAGTGAGGTCAATGAAGTAAAAAATTCTGCTTATGCTCACATTTTGACATTTTAATAGCTCTTTTTGGGAAAATCTAGTACTAGTATATTTTGTAGATACCTACATGTATTGAGAAAAATAATTGTATAGTGTCTATTTAGAAATATTGTGGATCACTTCAGCATTCAAATTGCTTATGGATTGCTGGTCTCCTTAGGTGGTACAAATTTTAAGAAGTAAAAAATTCTGCTTATGCTCACATTTTGACATTTTAATAGCTCTTTTTGGGAAAATCTAGTACTAGTATATTTTGTAGATACCTACATGTATTGAGAAAAATAATTGTATAGTGTCTATTTAGAAATATTGTGGATCACTTCAGCATTCAAATTGCTTATGGATTGCTGGTCTCCTTAGGTGGTACAAATTTTAAGATCTCCTTTTTCTTTCTAGATGGTTCAGAACTTTCAAGATGAGAGTTGTTTCTTAGTCACCACAATAAAAGGTATATTATTTTAATAAGGTAGATAACTGGCCTAACTAGCTACTAGATTTTAAGAGACAAGAATTATGCTCTGATAGACATGCCAGCAGTGTTTGCTGCTACTACAAACAAGTAATAATACAGTCAAGTAGAGTGACTTGAGGAAAAGAGGCTGAAAGCAATAGTTTTCACTCCACCTTAAAATTTTTATAGTATGAAAGATCTAAAAAGCTTTTTCTTTAATATCTAGAGATTGTTGCATCTTAGATGTACTAGCATGAATTTATATCTATCTCGCAAATTGAGTGAAGTAACCTGCTCCAAATCTAATCCCAAAAATGTCAGTTTAAAACTAACAGTTCGCGGGATTTGTGATTCTCTACCATGGTTTGTATCCAAACCAATTAATATAACAGTGTTGCAGGTACTCCAGTGTGCTTTAAATTTTGTAAGGATATAATAGTTTCAAGGAGAAAAATATACACCACAGTGGATGATGATAAATTGAAGGTTGCAGCCTTAAGAGTTTAAATTTTTAGGAAGAATCTGTTTGCACCTTGATGCAGGACACCATTTCCAAAAGTTAGAGAGCCAACAAATTAGTGCCTATCTAAAATAACACTCTCTTTATGATGATCTTGGTGTACAAAATCCTGTAGCTGGCTATTCCAATTTACATTTGTATAAAACTAATTTTTAAAAAATCATGTAGTGGCAGCCCATGTTTAGGCTTAACACTACACACATACTTCCTGTTTTCTCCTATAGCTCTAGACTAGTCTCCTCACACTTACCTGGTTGCTGCTTACATCCCTCAGATGTGTTTTCCAGCCCATATTCATTCCAAATTTGCACTCATATATAGCTTTATAGCAAATTCAAATGCCATGGATTTATCACTTTTTACTATATATTACAAAGTGTTAATGTTTATTTGGAGGGGATCTCTTAACATTATACCAGGAGACTTAAGTCTGTGGCTTCTCATTAATTCACTAATCAGATTCTTTGTTACATTTTAGGTAATACCGGTTACAATTTATTTTACCTATTATTCCAGCTTTTCCCAAAAAGCTTTGTGGTGTTGCATTTCTGTAAATACAGTGTCACAGGCCTGCTAACTATGAGGAAGCCAATTTGAGTGCCAGTCACTAATTTCTGCATCTAATGAATCTTCACTTTCATACAGATAAATTTAAAATGTAAATTTTAGAGGTTCAATTTGGGTTCAGTAAAGTACACTTGCTTTATCTGCATCCTGATATTCTGGCTACTGGGCAGATGACTTTCCTATTCTATATATATATAACCATCCCTTAAATCATTTTACAGTGACTGTATTTATCAGTTTTGTGGATCACCGCGTTTTAGAACAGATGAGATTTAAGAATAAGAGCACTAAAAAAAAAAGTTTAACTGGATTTTCAGGGGACTCCTTGATTCTGTGTCAGAACCAATGAGACAGGTTAAACAAGAGAAAATAGAACAACTGCATGAATTGAAATGGATACAAGGAAGTTCTAAAAATAAAAGTAGCAAAGCAAGTGTCTAGAAATTGAAACTCTATTTTGAACATAATTTTAATTTGAGTCAGTATTTGTTGGAAGGGGTAGAGAATGTGTTAAGCTGATGAAGTTTGCTGTTCTTAAAAGGTTAAGCAGTCATAAGTCAGTATCAACTTAGTAGTTAAAGGTGTGCTTTTCAAGAACTTACATGGATTTTAGTTTTATTACACTGGGGGTTATACTGTCTTAAGTGGCTGGAGTTTTGATTAAAGGGCTGCCATTCTTTCTTATAAACCTGTCCTTTTTCTCTGCAGCAGAAAATGGTGAAGGTTTCCATATAATTCTGAAGTGATGTCATATAGACATACTAGACTGATACTCCAATGCAGATTTCAAGTCATGATTAATGACGAACATCATCTGAAAATTCTTCAGATTGGACTTCACCATATAAAATGTTTCATATTGAAAACACAAGACCTTTCTAATGAGCTGTTTGATAGATGAACTTTCTAATCACTGCCATAGCTACATGTCCTCATAAGGGGTATAATGCCATGACAGCCTATGTACAGGCATGGAAGACAATATAAGCAAAGGTGCTTGCCCTTTACTGAAATAAGGCAAATTATGGCCAGTAGATACAGTTCATAGAAGCACTGTTGCTTTCCTATTATACTGTATCCAGTTTGGAAATGAATGTAAACTTATTCTGGGGCATTTACCTTGCTGTGCCAGTTTGTCTATTACTTACTTGTACCTTATGCTGATTTTATTTTTTGATGTTAGCAGAGCACATAGAAATCTGTGTGGAGACGAGTAGTTAAGGTGATAGTGATCAGGTTGTTGGGTCTTTGAGAGTAAAGCTGTCAAAACAGCTTCCCTGTGTAAATTGTGTATAAGAGTGTATGTAAGAAATGTAAATGCCAGAATAGGATTTTAATAAGTCCTAGCCTGATGCAATATATGCATGCAGCCTACTGCATTATCAACTGTACCTTATTGAAAGGATTAACAAAAATCCTGTGGGGTATGAAGTAATTGTGTTTTTGCTTTTGACAAATTTAATGGAAAAGAATTGCCTATGCATCCTTAATTTCCAGTTTCTCTATGAAGCACTGCTGCAGGCTTTTTTTATTTGGGTTTTTCTCTTTGCTTTTTTTAAGTGCTGGGTTTAAAAACAACCCCCCAGTAATTACGGGGGTTTTCCTGGGTGGGTGGGAGAGGAAATGTGCTAAACAAAGGAATATGATACACTGGCACCAAGGGGCTACAAAAACCAGCTTCAAGTACTATCAATCACATTGCTCAAGAAACACTAATATACACTTCTTTAGTAGCTGGCAGATCTTGCTCTAATCACTTTGCAGTCAAGATACCTGCACATAAAGTCTCACATTGATACTGCAAATTTTTTTACAATGCCTCTTCCATATGACCAAATACTTATCTTTGAAATAGGCAATGTGCTTTTCAAAATTGAGTTTCTCCTTGAAATTGTCCGATGTTTAGCACTGCCATTCAAATATTTAATATGAATGTCCACTTAAGACTTTATGGTATGTGTTATGTACTTTGGGGAAGACTCTTCATAGGCAGAAAAATCCCCGTCCCTTGAAATCAGTTTGAAAGTTTTGAATGGTATAGTGCTAAGTGTGAAATCATTTATAAAGAACAAAAACTACTGCAGCATGCAAAAGGCTGCTTTGATATTATCTGACTTGCTCTTTAGCTGGGTTAAGTGATTAGCAAGAAAGCCTTTATAAAGCTGTAGCAATTCTGAAAACTTAAATCCATGAAAGCTAGAATTGTTTTTTCTGCACTGATAAAATGGAATTTTATGGACTTAAGTTTGAATTTCTTCTGCTTATAAATTGTTCATCTTTGGGTATTTGTTGGATCTTAATAGTTTATTGAACTGACAACTGTCACCTTAGCACCATTTTCAAATCCAAAATGTTT